GCACCGTACTTAATTTTGAATTTCTTGCTAGCAAAATGGATTAATGCTGCTGAAGAGGCAGGAGTACCAGTCACTGATGATGTACTTCAAGCTCAATCACTTCTTATCCAAGAAAAGCTAGTCAAGATTAGCTGTGAGGAAGATTATATACTAATTTTGCCTTTTCAGGAAGATGGCTAAAAAGGTTTAAGGAGCGTCATATGATAGAAAGGCTGAAGAGACACAGTGAGTCTGGTAGTATCAATTCTGCAGTTGTGGAAACGGCACAAGAGGAAATTCAGGAAAAGTTAAGGCATTTTGCTTTAAGTGATATTTGGAATCGTGATGAGAGTGGTCTACAATATAATAAACAGCCAGCTTACTCTGATATAAGAAAGAAAAATGAAAAAATTTTAGCTGGGGTCCAGTTGGATAAAACTCACATCACAACCTTCCATACAGTCAATGCAGATGGGACTGAAAAAAGACACTTAATAGTCATTGGATGGGCAGAAACACCACAGGCATTCCAGTACAATAGAATTAATATTCATAATCTACTAATTCTTTATGGCTACAACAAAAAGACTTGGATGATAAGTGAATTGTGGTATGAATATTTATCAAGAAATGTGAATCCAGAAATGGAATATTATCCTTATTACCGACAACTACCTAAGTCATCCATCCTCCAATTCTCCACCTAAGAACTATGAAAGACCGGCCCCACCAGTACTTACAAATATCACTATTCACTCTCTTCCTCCAAATACTACCTCCAAGTTCCAACCACTCGATCAGTGTGTTATTGCTTCTTTCAAAGCTGCCTACTGGAGGCAGTATGGACTATATGGTTTAATACTTCAATTGACGTAGTCAAGCTCTACCAAAGCTTGATATTCTCTCCACGATATACCTCATGGCTGATGCATAGGAGTCGATTCCTACCAGTACAATTAGCAACTGCTGAAAGTGGGCTGGTTTGCTTGGTTCTCATCACTTACCTGCTGAGAACTCTGACTTCCTCGCAGCCTCCTCTGCTCAAACTCGTTCTACTGTCAGAATCCTCAATCAGGCCTCCTACAAGCTGA